GCATCACAGGGATCACCGACGAAGTGAATCACAATTGCGGTACCCACGCCTGCATATGGTTGGGTCCTTCGTCAGGCTAAATCTGGCGCGTTTTTTTGCTTTTGGGGCCTATTCTGCAGTGATTTTGGCTGTTGGGATCCATTCAGCCGTGCTCCTGGTGTTTTTGTTCGCCGTGCTCGGCAGCTCTTGGCGCCTATTATGCCGTGCTCCTGGTTCCCCCCAACCATCCTGTAGTGTTGGGTCCTCGTTTTGAGAAGACGTCGCCCCGCGTTCCTGCTTTGTGTTCCCCCCTTCCCCTCCTCTCATCATCGCCATCATCATCATCGTCATCATCATCGTCGTCATCACCATCATCATCATCATGATCATCATCATCATCAACACCAGCATCACCGACATCATCACATGTTTCGTTGACCATAGGGAAGTCCACCGAAGGTCCCAATGGCGCGGTTGGCGTGCGTCTCCCCCCCAGTACACCGCTTCGTGGCCCCAGAGGGGTTCCACCGAAAGTCCCCGTGGAACAGTCCGCATGCGTCTCCCCCACCCAGTACAGCGCTTCGTGGCCCCACAGGGGCTCCGCCGAAGGTCCCCGTGGCACACTCCGCACGCGTCCCCGCCATTCATTTCGGCACACCCCTCACACGTTTCGTGGCCCCATACGAGTTCCGCCGAAAGTCCCCGGGGCACAGTCCGCATGCGTCCCCGCCACTTTTCTCGGCCACCCCTCACACGTTTCGTGGCCCCAGAAGAGCTCCGTCGAAAGTTCCCGTGGCACAGTCCGCATGCGTCCCCGCCACTCATTTCGGCACGCCCCTCACACGTTTCGTGGCCCCATCGGACCTCGGCCGACGGCCCCAGTGGCACAGTCCGCATGCGTCCCCGCCACGCATTTCGGCCCACCCCTCACACGTTTCGTGGCCCCATATGGGGCTCCGCCGAAGGTCCCAGTGGCACAGTCCGCATGCGTCCCCGCCATTCATGTAAGCCTACACCTCACACGTTTCGAGGCCCCACAGGAGCTCCGCCGAAGGTCCCCGTGGCACAGTCCGCATGCGTCCCCGGCATTCACGTCGGCCCACCCCCATCACACGTTTCGTGGCCCCATGCGAGCCCCGCCGACGGTCCCAGTGGCACAGTCCGCATGCGTTCCCGCCACTCATGTCGGCCCACCCCTCACACGCTTCGTGGCCCCATGGGAGCCCCGCCGAAGGTCCCATTGGCACAGGCCGCATGCGCCCCCGCCATTTATTTCGGCCCACCCCTCACACGCTTCGTGGCCCCATAGGAACTCCGCCGAAGGTCCCCGTGGCGCAGTCCGCATGCGTCCCCGCCACTCATTTCGGCACACCCCTCACACGTTTCGTGGCCCCACAGGAGCTCCGCCGAAAGTCCCCGGGGCACAGTCCGCATGCGTCCCCGCCACTCATGTCGGCCTACCCCTCACACGTTTCGTGGCCCCATAAGGGGCTCCGCCGAAGGTCCCACTGGCACAGTCCGCATGCGTCCCCGCCACTCATGTCGGCCCACCCCTCACACGCTTCGTGGTCCCATAGGGACTCCGCCGAAGGTCCCACTGGCACAGTCCGCGTGCGTCCCCGCCATTCATTTCGGCACACCCCTCCCACGCTTCGTGGCCCCATAGGAACTCCGCCGAAGGTCCCCGTGGCACAGTCCGCATGCGTCCCCGCCATTCATTTCGGCACACCCCTCACACGCTTCGTGGCCCCACAGGAGCTCCGCCGAAGGTCCCAGTGGCACAGCCCGCATGCGCTCCCGCCACTCATTTCGGTTCGTGGCCCCATGGGGAACTTCACCCGGCGTCCCCGTGGCGCAGTCCGCATGCGTCCCCATCACCCAGTACATTGTTTCGTGGCCCTATATGGAGCCCCGCCGAATTTCCCCGTGGCGCAATCCGCATGCGTTTCCCTCACCCAGTACAGCGTTTCGTGGCCTTATATGGAGCCCCACCGAAGGTCCCGGTGGCGCAGTCCGCATGCGGTTCCCCCACCCAGTACAGCGTGTCGTGGCCACATAGGGAGTTCCACCGAAGGTTCCCGTGGCGCAGTCTGCATGCGTCTCCCCCAACCAGTACACCTCCGCCGGAGGCCGTCGGAGTTCTGAGGAGGACGATCGGAGTGGGTTGCGGAGGAACGGAGGAGAAGCAGGAGGTCGGAGGAGGAGGAGGAGGAGGAGGAGGAGGATGCGGAGGAGGAGGAGGAGGACGAGGAGGAGGAGGAGAGTGGGACGAAGACGATGATGACGATATTGATGTTGAATATGCTGATGAGGGTGATGATGATGACGATGATGATGATGATGATGATGATGATGATGATGATGATGCTGATTTGATAATGGTGATGATGATAATGATCATGATGATGTCGGGGATGATGATGATGATGACGAAGATGATGATGCTGAACATGATCATGCTGCTGATGATGATGATGCTGATGATGATGATTCGGATGATCATGTTGACGGTGATGTCGCTGATGATGCAAATAATGACACTGGTGGTGATGCTGTTGATAACGATGGTCTCGATGATGATAATGCTGACGATGGTGACGATGGCGAACATAACACTGCTGACGATAACGATCATGATGGTGATGATGATGTTGCCGATGATGTTGATCATGATGATGATGCTGATGATGATGACGATGATGACGATGATGACGATGACGATACTCTTCATCATCATCGTCCATAAGATTGTGTTGATGACGACGATGCTCCTGATGATGGTGACGCTGCTGCTGCTGCTGCTGCTGCTGAGGATGATGACGACCCTGACGCCGTTGACGACGACGATGCTGATGAGGAGGAGGATGAGGCAGACGGGAAGGTGGAGGATGACGGGTAGGGGAGGACGGCAGGGTCATCACCACGGCGGCGTGCCAGGCCGGAGGCGCACCATGCGCGAAGGCCACGGGGCGAGTGAACAGCGCTCTGGGGCAGTTTTCGGCCAGACTTGCTGGGCGCGGGCAGTCCGCAGCCAGACCTTTTCCCCGTCCAGTGGACTGTTGCCCTGGGCCGTCGCCTTTCCAGCGCGTTGCTCCCTCGGCCGACGTCGCGCAGGCGTGATCCTGGACTGTGGCCGCCACGAAGTGGGGAACGGCAGAAAGTTGGACGACGACCTGGTGGCTGGAGATCTACGCGCTGCTCTCGCGCGCCATGCTCCACGAGGACCTCCTGCGCATGCGGATGCCGCGCATCCAGTTCTTCCTTGCAGGGCCGCCGGAGGGCTTGCGGAAGCAGCTGGAGCAGTTTTCTGCGCGCACGAAACGGCGCAGGAGGGAGGCGACGGCCCTCGCCAGGGAGCTGGGCTTCACCGAGTTTATCCGCGAGGCTTGATCCGAGGAGCGGCCCGCCCGAGCCTCGCCGTCTTTCAACGGTTTGACTAATTGTTTGGCCTCGCGCCGCGGGCGACCCGCGCGCGTCGCTGGGGCCATCTCGGGGCGACCCGCGCGCGTCGCAGGAACTCCGTGCTGCGTTCTGCCCGGCGCCTCGCTCGCCCGTCGTCGTTCTGTCCTGCGGCAAGAACCTTGCCCGATATCAGCCAGCCAGCTAGTTTTTTTTGTTTCGCGCAGCGGACGACCCGCGCGCGTCGCTGGGGCCCCTCCGGGGCGACCAGCGCGCGTCGCGGGGGCTCCGCGCTGCGTTCTGCCCAGCGCCTCGCTCGCCTGTTGTCGCTTTGCCCAGCAGCGAGAGCCTTGCCCGCTATCAGCCAGCCAGCTAGCTCTCTTTGCTCCGCGCAGCGGACGAACCGCGCGCGTCGCCGGGGCCCTCCGGGGCGACCGGCGCGCGTCGCGGGGGCTCCGCGCTACGCTGCGCCCGCAGCCTTGGACTTTTGAGTGCGCGGGCAAAGAGGGGGCAAAAGAAGGGGAGGGGGCGGGCGCGATCCTCGCGGGGGGGGCGCGCCGACATAGGCGTCGAGACGCGCGGGCGATGCCGCTGGGGAGTCCCGGGGGATCTCCTTGCGGCGGCCGCGCCCAGCGTCACGAGTACTCAGAGGCAGTCGTTCTCAAACTATTGACATTCATATACAAGAACACAATGCTTTGTCATAGTCGCACTCATGCACGCAGACTCGCTCGCGCGCATATTAATTCGCAGTCAGACGCACTCGCGCTCAGATTCGCCCGCGCTCAGTCCCCTTACTTACTCATATCAATCGTTTTCGTTCGCGTTTTGTACCCATTTCGGCACACCCCTAGCGCGGTTCGTTGCCTCATGGAGATCACCACCGAAAAAGTAAATCACAATCGCCGTACTCACACCTGCATATGGTTGGGTTCTTTGTCCGGCTAATTTTCCGCCGCGTTCCTTAGCTCATGGGGCCTACTCTGCCGTTGTATGTTTTCGCCGTGCTCCTTAGCTTCTGGGGTATATTCAGCCGTGCTTTTTTCCCCCCCCGACGTGCTCCTTCGCACTTGGGGCATATTCATCCGTGCTCCTTGTTTCTTGGATTCTATTTTGCTGTGCTCCTCGTATTCTTCTGGTTTGCTCCTTCGCTCTTCGGGCCTCTTCTGCCGTGCACTTTAGCTGTTGGGGTGTATTGTGGCGTGCTCCTGTTTTTTTTCTGCCGTGCTCCCTCGCTTTTGGGGCCTATTCAGCCGTGCTCCTGATCATTTTGCGCCGTTTTCCTTAGCTTTTGGGGTCTATCCTGCTGTGATCCTGTTTTTTTGCCGTGCTCCTTCGCTTTTGGGGTGTGTTTTGCCGTGCTCGTTTGCTCTTGGGGTCTATTCTGCCGTGTTCCTTTTTTATTTTTTTTGCCGTGCTCCTCAGCTCTTGGGGCCTATTTTGCCGTGTTCCTAATATTTTTTCTGCCGCGCGCGCCCAGAAACTCCGCCGAAACGACCACCGCGACGATCCGCACGGCAGAATAGAGGAACACGGCAGAACAGACAGAGCGCACAGAGGCACGGCAGAACACAGAAACACGGCAGAACAGGAACACGGCAGAACACACAGGAGCACAGCAGAACACACCCCGAACTCACGCCGACACGCGCGCCACGGCATCCCTGCGCGGCGTAACAGCAACAGAGCATATTCCACATGCTTGGTGGACTCAAGCGACGCTTCCCGTTTGTGTCCGGTCATGTTTTTTGCCGCGTGCGAATGGGGCGAAATGGCGACGCAATGCAGAGCGCCGCACCTGTTGGCCCTCGCGACCTTGCCATGTAAGTGCAGCAAGCCGACAGGACTCGTGAGCTGTTTTTGTTGTCGCCCACGTTTCACTTCTGCGTGTTCATTGCCCTTTTCTTGTTTTGTTTGTTTTCTTCTTCTCTCCCTCTGTTATATTAAGCCCCGCTATCTTAAGCAGGAGGCGATGATATCTTTGGCGCTTTCGCAGCTGCAACTTTCGCGAGAGACAGCTGCTGCGCAGGTGCCCAGAGTCTGTTCGAAAAACCAGGCTGCAGAGGCGGCCGCGATTCGCACATTCGTCGGACTCGCTGGCCCTCTGGCTGTTGCCTTCCTGCTGTCTTTCGAACAAAGGACTTCAGGGGGCGTCAGAACTGGCTCCGGGAGGCGCCCGAGAAGCATGCCAAGAGGCCCCAAAAGGATATTTCAGCAGCACTGGCGACGGACCCTGCCTTGTGCATGCGCGTGCAGCGCAGGGCGCGGCTGCCGAATAATCCGGGTGCCCCCCGCGCGAGCACGCCCACTGAGGCCGCGGGTGAAGCTCCATTTGGGGCATCTCCCGGGTGCAGTGAGACGATTTTTGTATCCACCCAAGGGAAAACACGTGTTATCCCCCCCTGCCCCCCCCGTGACGTTAACACCCAGGCCGGGTCCGGTGCGCGATCCCTGGCAGCCTAGGCTGTGGTGCACACGGGCACTGCTAGTGCCGCGGTGCGCGCGGGCGTGCAGTATTGTGAACGCAGGCGCTGCGGTGTACACGGGCTTGTGGCGCACGCATTTGTCGTTGCAGCAGCAGCTGTGGTGTACACAGACATAGTGGGGATACGCAAGCATTGTTGTATAATTATCACAAGCCTTGTGGTGTACACAGGCGCCGTGATGTACACAATCGCTGTAGTGCCCAACGTCGCTGTAGTGCCCAACGTGCGCGTTGTGTGCTGTAATGAACGCACGCAACTCTTCCAACACATTCCTCTTCCTCCCTCTTCATTTTCGTCTTCATCATCGTCGTCTTCCTTGCGTATATAGGACACGGGCATTGTGGTGCAAACAGGCGTTGTGTTGCACATCACTGTGGGCTCACAAAGTCAAACGTTGCTCGGGCCAGGGAAACCCAATAGTCACAATCAGATCACATATTGAATCTGATACATTCAGGCCCCAAACGATTTCCCGGACTTTGGCTCCGTCTGGGCCGTAGAGGTGTACTTAGACAAGCTTTGTGGCAAACGCAGGCGCGGAGGGGTGCTGAAACAGCAGCTGGGGTGTCAATAATCACAGGCGTTGCGGTGCAGACGGCTGCTGTGGTGTACTCAGCCATTGCGGTGTACACAGGCGCCTCGAGATCGCAGTTCGCCCGTCTATTCGCCAGGTCAAACCGGAAACCGGGGTTTTCGGACAGGGCGCCTGCGACCTCCTCGGCAGGAAGTTCACCGCCGCTTTTTGACGGGTGCACGCGCGTCCGCTCGGTGCACGAGACGTGGTGCCCGCAGGGTCAGCGTGCGTACGCAGGCACCGTGGTGCACAGGGGGTGCTGCAACAGCAGCTGTGGTGCACGCAGGCGCCGTGGTGTGCACCATCAAAGATATGTACAAAGGCGCTGTGGTGCACACGGCTGTTATGGCGTATACAGTCGCCAAAGTGCACACACATGCCATTCCTGCAGCAGTCTTGGTGCACAAGGGCATCGTGGTGCACAGAGTACAGAGCCCATGTTGTGTGCACAAGCGCTGGGCTTGGACGACGACGACGGCAACGACTCAGGCGGCGCGCCTCGGGGGGTGCGCGCCGCGGCCTCCGTTACCGCTACCTCCCCCCACGCCGCCCCCCCCAGGATAACATGTGTTATCTCCCAGGGATCAGTTGGGCGATCTTGGGCGCCTCTTGGACCGTCTTGGGGCGGTCTTTGGGGCCTTGGGGGCCATCTTGGAGTGTCGGAATCCCGAAAACGCGAGAACGCGCAACACATCGAAACACGCACAAGGAAAGTCACTGGTTTTTGCTCTTTGGGTCCTCTTGGGCCTCTTGTGGGTCGCTCTTGGGGTGTCTTTGGGGCCTCCTGTGCCGTCTTGAAGCCACCTTCGGGTTCTTGGAGCGCTCTTGGACTGTCTTGGAGACTCCTTGGACATTAGCATTTCGCTAGGGACATCCTCACAAAATGGCTCTTGGGGCCTATTCTGCCGTGCTCCTTAGCTCTTGGGGTCTATTCTGCCGTGTTCCTGGTCTTGTTCTGCCGTGCTCATTCGCTCTTGGGGCCTATTCTGCCGTGCTCCTGATCTTTTTCTGCCGTGCTCCTTACCAGAAGGGGTCTATTCTGCTGTGCTCGTGGTCTTTCTCTGCCGTGCTCCTTCGCACTTGGGGCTTATTCAGCCCTGCTCCTCAGCTCCTGGGGTCTATTCTGCCGTGCTCCTGCTGTTTTTCTGCCGTGCTCCTTCGCTCTTGGGGCGTCTTCTGCCGTGCCCCTGATCAGTTTCTGCCGCGCGCGCCCAGCAGCTCTGCCAACGCGACCACCGCGACGATCCGCACGGCAGATACAGGAACGCGGCAGAACACACAGAGCACACAGAGGCACGGCAGAACACAGAAGCACGGCAGAACACACAGGAGCACGGCAGCACACACAGGAGCACAGCAAAACACACCCCGCACGCACGCCGGCACGCGCGCCACGGCATACTTGTGCGGCGTAACAACAGCAGAGCAGATTCCGCCTGCTTGGTGGACTGAGGCGACGCTTCCCGTTCTTGTCCGGTCAGGTTTCGTTGGCGGATTCCCCAAAACAGCGATGACGGGGAGCGTCTTCGAGGTACGAGACGGCAGCTGGACGTTTTGGTTGAATCCTCGTCGTATCTGTAAGAGATCTCCAAGTACAGGGTGGCGCGCCGCACGGGATCGGACCGTTGGCGGATGGTGGGAAGCGTCTTCGAGGTACGAGAAGTTAGCTGGACGTTTTGGCTTGTGGGAAAAAACACACGGTGGAAAACACACACACACATTGTGTGTGGTTTCCCACAGTGTGTGTGTGTGTTTTGTGTGTTGTTTTCCCACAGTGTGTGTGTGTGTGTGTTTTTGTGTGTGTGTGTGTGTTTGTGTGTTTTGTCCCACAGTGTGTGTTTTTTCCGACAGAATCCTCCTCACATTTGCAAGACATCTCTAAGCATAGGGGGGCGCGCCGCACGGGATGACGGGAAGCGCGCTATAGGACTCGAAGGGCCGCGCGATGGACGTCTGTCGCCCAGGGGATTGTGTCAACTGGGGGGAGTCTGGGGGGGGGACGCGCGGGGTTGCCTTGTGATTCGGGACGTAGCGCATTCCCAAAAGCAGCGATTTCGCTCAAGACATCCTCACACAATCGTGAAGTTGGGGGTCGTATGCCAAGACGTCTTTTGCGAAAGATGGGCGTTTCGCTCGAGACATCCTCCGAACATCGGGATCTCGAAATCGCTCTCCTTAGCTCTTGAGGTGTATTCTGCCGTGCTCCTGGTCTTTTTCTGCCGTGCTCCTTCGCACTTGGGGTATATTCTGCCGTGTTCCTTGTCTCTTGGGTGCTATTATGCTGTGCTCCTGGTCTTTTTCTGGTTTGCTCCTTCGCTCTTCGGGCCTATTCTGCCCTGCTCCTTAGCTCCTGGGGCCTATTCTGGCGTGCTCCTGTTTTTTTTCTGCCGTGCTCCTTTGCTCTTGGGGCCTATTCTGCCGTGTTCCTGTTCATTTTCTGCAGTGCTTCTTAGCTCTTGGGGTCTATCCTGCTGTGCTCCTCGTCTTTTTCTGCTGTGCTCCTTCGCTTTTGGGGTCTATCCTGCTGTGCACCTGGTTTTTCTCTGTCGTGCACCTTCGCACTTGAGGCTTATTCAGCCCTCTTCCTTAGCTCCGGGGGTCTATTTTGCCGTGCTCCTGGTCTTTTTCTGCCGTGCTCTTTGGCTCTTGGGGGCATATTCTGCCGTGTACCTGGTCTTTTTCTGCCGTGCTCCTTAGCTCTTTGGGTCTATTCTGCCGTGCTCCTGGTCTTTTTCTGCCGTGCCCCAGAGCTCCAGGGATCTATTCTGCCGTGCTCCTGGTTTTTTTCTGCCGTGCTCCTTCGCTCTTCGGGCCTGTTCTGCCGTGCTCCTTGTCTTTTGGGTTCTATTTTGCCGTGCTCCTTGTCTTTTTCTGCCGTGCTCCTTCGCTCTTGGGGCCTATTCTGCCTTGTTCCTGGTCTTTTTCGGCCGTGCCCCTGAGCTCTGTGGGTCTATTCTGCCGTGCTTCTGGTCTTTTTCTGTCGTGCTCCTTCGCTCTTGGGGCCTATTCTGCCATGCTCCTTCACTTATCGAGTCTATTCTGCCGTGCTTCTGTTTTTTTCTGTCGTACTCCTTGGCTCTCCGGGCCTATCCTGCTGTGCTTCGGTCTTTTTCTGCCGTGCTCCTTAACTCTTGGGGTCTATTCTGCCGTGCTCATGGTCTTTTCCCTACCATCCTGTGGTGTTGGGTCCTCGTTTTGAAGAGAGAGCGCCCCGCGTTTCCTCCTTTCTCCTCCTCCGTCCTCCCCTCCTCTCATCATCATCATTTTCATCATCATCGTCATTATCGCCGTCATCATCATCAACATCAGCATCATCAACATCATCACACCTGTCGTTGCCCCATACGGAGCTCCGCCGAAGGTCCCAATGGCGCGGTTGGCATGCGTCTCCCCTCCCCCCAGTACAGCGTTTCGTGGCCCCACGGGGAGCGCCACCGTCTCCCCCACCCAGTACAGCGCTTCGTGGCCCCATAGGGGCTCCGCCGAAGGTCCCAGTGGCACAGTCCGCATGCGTCCCCGCCTCTCATGTCGGCACACCCCTCACACGTTTCGTGGCCCCATAGGAGCTCCGCCGAAGGTCCCCGTGGCACAGTCCGCATGCGTCCCCGCCACTCATCTCGGCCCACCCCTCACACGTTTCGTGGCCCCATTGGAGCTCCGCCGAAGGTCCCAGTGGCACAGTCCGCATGCGTCCCCTCCACTCATTTCGGCACACCCCTCACACGTTTCGTGGCCCCATAGGAGCTCAGCCGACGGTCCCAATGGCACAGTCCGCATGCGTCCCCGCCACTCATTTCGGACCACCGCCGAAGGTCCACGTGGCACAGTCCGCATGCGTCCCCGCCTTTCATGTCGGCCCACCCCTCACACGTTTCGTGGCCACAGAAGTTCCGCCGAAGGTCCCACTGGCACAGTCCGCGTGCGTCCCCGCCAGTCATGTCGGCACACCCCTCGCACGTTTCGTGGCCCCATAGGAGCTCCGCCGAAGGTCCCAGTGGCACAGTCCGCATGCGTCCCCGCCGCTCATTCCGGCCCACCCCTCACACGTTTCGTGGCCCCATAGGAGCTCCGCCGAAGGTCCCAGTGGCACAGTCCGCATGCGTCCCCGCCACTCATTGCGGCCCACCCCTCACACTTTCCGTGGCCCCATAAGAGCTCCGCCGAAGGCCCCAGTGGCACAGTCCGCATGCGTCCCCGCCACTCATTTCGGCCCACCCTGCACACGTTTTGTGGCGCCATAAGGGGCTCCGCCGAAGGTCCCAGTGGCACAGTCCGCATGCGTCCCCGCCATTCATTTCGGCCCACCCCTCACACGTTTCGT